GGATTTTAATCTGCTCTTACAGGTGACTTACTGAACGAGAAATATACCCTATGTACCTCAGCCGGTTTCTAAGACCTCATAGAGGAGTTTTAGGCAGTCAATGTTGAGAACATTATAAATGACAGAGTAATATTTTATAACATGCTCAATCTTTATTCATCCAGATCCAGAAAGAGATAATATTTGGTAAAATATGCCTCATATCGTGGCCTTCACTAATCTCATGGCACTACAAAATCCAGAAATGAAGAAATAAATGTTTAAGTTAATATCTAGCACTAAAAAAACTGAGTGCTTAAGGTAGAGAGGTTCAACATAGAAAGCTTTCGATTTGCTTTCACTTCCAACTAATATAAAAGAATTATGGATCAAATCCTTATAGGCTCCTCACCGCTCACTCTCTTGCATATACAGGACAAATTTAACTTAAAGATTTTGGTTCATGAAGCAAATATAGTCACAAATGAAAAATAGTTACTTTTCAGAAAAATATTTATGAAGTGAAATGCTAATCACGTGTTATGAATAATGTGTTAACTATTTCTCTAAGTTGGATAATGTCCTATACTCTAGTTACAAATAAAGACAAGATGCTTCACGTAGGTACACAAAAGATAGGAAACCAAACCTTTGGTTTTGGAATATTAGCATGAGCTTTATAGTGAGAAAGCAGTGTATTACTCTGCAAAGATCCATGTCTGCACAGTTGAGAGATGCGTCTACAAACCTGTTAAAATTAGTTCGCTAGATTAGACATTGCCAAAAAACACCCATTTACAATTATAAAACTCCATTACCCACCTACAATATTCAGAATCACATTAAAATAGAAGGAAGATCACATTATTAGGAACCATTTTAAAATAGCATACGCAGTTACATGTACTTGTGTAATCTCTCTTACCGTGGTAACTGCACCAGTATATGTCTTCGGTTTGATCATTTTCAACAAAAATGGCCAGAGAAAAAGATGCAAATATCACGGAGAATGTCATAATAACACAGTTAAGCCAATATTAAGGGGGAAAAACTTTCACGAAAAAGATAGTCACAGGATGGTTAACAGGAAATGAACTCGTACAATTAACGGTGACCATGCCTCCATTTCAGTAATGGTAACAATTATTAAAAGAACATTTTTTCATAGATCACTTGTAAATCTCATGGACACATCGTTCTAATCTTTGCCTGCACGACAAAATCCACGTGGATGATGTATAATCTGTTCACATACTCAAAACAGAAGCTATGTTAATGTAAATGAGTTAGAAGCATTTATGTTGACTATTAGTGCATCCAAGTAAGCTAGGATCTGTAAATGAGTGGGTGGATAATTCTTGAAGAAATACTATAGTTGTATTCAAACCCAGCATATCACATAGTAAAATTTAGCAACACGTGTCATTTTCTAAGAAAAGATGAAACGACCTCCATAGATTTTAAAAGTGGTAACGCAATTTCTTGTTCACAGGCTTTTTTTCTACAACCACAACTA